AACGTGAACATATTATACCCATTTTAGACTATCATTATGAGAGCCAGTTTGGTGTAGTGGTTAAGGCACCAGGCTAGAAACCAGGAGACCATGAGTTCTAGTCCCGCCTTGGGCACAAAGCCAGCGGGATAACCTTGGGCCAGTCACTCTCTCTCAGCCCTAGGAAGGAGGCAATGGCAAACCACTTCCAAAAAACCCTGCCAAGAAAACTGCAGGAACTAGTCCAGGTAGCTGCCAGGAATCAAAAACTGACTCGAAGACAGACTCAAAAAGACTACCATTAATTGCCAGTTCCAACCCAAATGAAATGCTTTAAAGATTTGAGAGAGAAGTAATCACCCTATATTGTTCTACAACCTTTCATCTTCACTCCTGCTTTTCTAACTCGCCACTGCTTCTTCCTGTATTCCTTATTTGTTATGCCCCAGCCCACTTTTAATATATTGCTCTCACCAAGTGTTTTAAACAGCCCAACTCATTTCTGGAATGCAGCCTCCAGCAGACCTCTTAAGAATACGTGTGTCATTTGGCCTGGAAGAAGTTGCACACCTCTCAAGTATCTATTTACACAAGTATCTCCTAAAGCAACATTGAACAATCCATAAGATAAGGCCCTGATGTGTTCTAAAACACAGCAGTGTATTTATGTGCCACTAACTGGGCATTTTTAGTGATTGATGATGATTACGTGCCATCAAGTCATTGTCGACATAGATATTCTCCTTAATGATCTGTCCCTAATATGGTCCTTCAGCTCTTCCAACTATGTAGTCATTACTACTGTAACTGAGTTTATCCACCTTCCTGCTAGTTGTCCTCTTCTTTCCTTCCACCTTTGTCAGCATTAAAGCCTTCTCCAGATTAAAATCACTCAATTTCTGCTGCTGATGGCAGTAAAAACAGCCATTTTGCTTCCTTTTCTTTCTTCATTTTTCCTTCCCATTCATGGTGGCAAAACACAATTTTATTATTTTGGGGGAAAGAGAAGTACTAAAAATTAATTTATTCACAGATTAAAGATTTATTGACTGACAAAAGCTCTGGGTAGTCTAAGTGTCTACAGATTTTTTTCATTTATGACTCTAGAACTATGGAGACACACAGGAATTTTAGTCAATCAAGCCGCTGGAAATTAATCAGAGCAAAATGGAACACTTTGAAGATAATTCTGAATTAGTTGTACTGCTTTAATTATTTGTAAACTCTTCTACTATCTCTGCACAGGCTTATTAATATTTTCCTATTGAATAAGAACACATACATTGTACAGAAAGAGAAAAATCAGAACACTATCACTATCACTTCATAATAATCGAAATTTGCCCTAGGCTTCTGAGTGACCTAGGAAGGGTCACACACACAGCAAAAAAAGGATGGTCCAGGGCAAAAAAGGAGAAAGGGCAAGGATTAAATTTAATTTTGATTAACAGCCGATTTAATTTTAGTTAACAGCTGTTATCATCTAATATGATTTCTTCCGGTGTACTTAAAAAAATCCTCTTTATAGTTTAATGGCAACTTCTGAAGAAGCTCAGGGCACCATTCAAGGATTGGATGCTGGCTCATATTGTATAATTTAATTCTTACTGAGAAAGTTGTGGGAGAATTTTCTGCCCATAAAGGAATTACTGTACCTGTAAGGAAAAACATGATAGTTTTTCTCTTTGTGGGCCATGGCTTCAGTAATATTGTTTGCTATGATCCGTGCTTTTTTCAATGCATCAATAAAGTCTGCTGAGTTTTTTAGCACTGTATGGTAAGTCATGAAGTAAGTGGCTCCAATTTCAGAAGAGTTGTGTATAAAGTTGACTGCAGAACTATATGCAGCATGTCCTCTGCAAAAAGAGAGTAGAGTCAGCATACATCAAAAAAGGTTCTAAGTTCTATCAAATCAACTGACTAGCAGAGGCATTTCAATTTGCATCAATTATCTTATTAGAAAATACTATAGACCAACACTTGCTAAAAGTACACAATTCAAAGCAATAGAATGTAGGTTTGCCAGCGTGGATGTATTCAGCGAATACAGTATTTTGACAATGAAGTAAATATTCTGCTGGTAAATGTGACCTCTAAAAAACAAAAGTTGAAAAGTACTGCAAACACAGTATTATGTTTCTTACATTAAAAAAATGACTATTAAATTTTATAGCAAAGAGTTACATTGGGCTAGTGGGCACATTTGGAATATTAAGAGAATTTCATGAGGATTTTCAAAATGTCTTCTATAAGAAGGATGTCAGTCACGAAGGACTCTCCAAATGGCAAAATGGTGAGGTTTTGCCCTGCCATCTCTTTTCTTCCCCCAGAATGCTATTCCAGGGGTGGGCAAAGTGCAGCTCACATGCAACATCATATTTGCCATTCCAGAAATTTCCCTGGGTGGGCTTGGCCAAATTTTAGGAAAACTTTTGTATGGAGCAAGATGCCTGTAAAGGTAGGGCACTACTGCATCTCTTAAAAATTTCACTCTCCTTCCAAAGAAATCAGGCCAATTTTTCTTATTTTTGTGGGCTTTAAGGGGCAAAATGGCTCCTGACACAAAATTAGGGCTGAAAAGTCCCCATTCATTTCAGTGAGAACACAATGTTACCACCCATCATCCTCAAGCAGGATACAAATGGCAATGCAGGCAGTTGTGCTCTGTACCACTTCCATTTACTTTTATCTTTTTAATGGATAGATATACCACTGAGCACATCTGCAAATGAACTACTGAATTACGAGGACCTACTATTTTTAATCTTCTATGACTCCTATGTGGTACTCTAAGGCATTTCTTAGAAATAAAGATGATGCCTGAGGCTGGATCTTTGCTACATAGCACAAGGACTTTCCAATTTTTAAAATTAAAATAATATTTTAAAAATTAAATCAGGTAAGACATGAGGTCTGGCAGATGAAGAGAGATATTACAGGGTACACTGGCAGGCACATGAGTTTCAGTTCATAGTACTCAGGCAAAGAGAAATATAAAACCATACAATGTATGTTCGACTGAATAGTTTCAAGGTAGCGAAGCCACTCAGTATCTCCCCTCCAGTTTAGTATCATTACAAAATCAACTGCAAAATCCACCTAATAGTAATACCATCTAGTTAATGTTTAATTCACTTGCTAATCTGAATATCATGGGGTTGTACATAAAATGATTTGATGTAATCATGATAGATCTACCACATTTCTACAAAGAAGGTCAAAGAAGGTTCCCAATCAAGTCATAAAGAGAGATTAGTCTTTCTTGATCTTCAGAAATCCATGAGTACTAGTTTTTAACTAGTATTTTCAAACAGCTTCCTGGTCTATCATTTGATGATCTATCGTAGAATCTTTCCAGATTGACTGGTCTGTAGTTTCTTAGATCATCCTTTTTTGAAGATAGGGCCATTTGCCCTAAAGTATGAACTTTATAAGTACTTCATATGTTCTGATCTCCAAAATTTTTCAGGTAATCGATACGGATTTGACCAACTATCTCTTTCAGTACCATAAAATGAAATTAATCTGGTCCTGAAGATCTCATCTCATTCAAGAATAGTACCTAATTGACTATGTTGTTATGAAGCTTAAACTGTAATCATGTAAAGAACTTTTTTCTTTACAATTACAGTGAATATTCTCTTTTCAGAGAAAACTAAGTGAAAATCAAAGTTGGTTAGCTTTACCTTTTCTTTGTTACCTGTTAGCATTTTCCCTTCTTTACTGGTCAATTACATGCTAATTCTTTTCCTTTTATTTTGAATGTATCTAAGAAGCTCTTTTCTTGTTATTTGAAATTAACAAAGAATTTCACCTTACTCTGAGTTTTAGATTTTATAAATCTAGGCTATCTATATGTATTCTTTCTGGGTTTTCCATCTCACAGATATGTCCAATTTTTCACCAAGTTTTTAGTATGCCTGTATTGACTTTTTCTGCTGTCTTCCACAATTGTTTACAATTGTATTTTTACTGTTTCCTTTTTTAGTAATTCCCACCAATCTTGAGCTCCTTTTCCTACTAGTATCTCTTGCCATTAAACCCGACTTATCATTTTTTTTCCTCCAAGTTTAAAGTACAAATTTGAACACATTCACCTTTAAATTCTTAAAATGAACAATTTCAGGATTAAATGGTCAGTTTCCTGCCAAGTTCTCACTGTTTCCAGTTTGAATGAGCCTTCTCTATTGATTAGGATCAAGTAAAAATGATCATTTTATAACTTCCTCCACCATACAATGGAGAAAACTATGAGCAAGAGAAATCAGGAATTTCAAGAAAGGAATATGCATGACAATTTGTCTTCCAATGTTAATCTGAAAGGAACTTTAGGTCACCTATACCATTCCCCTGCTCTGTAAACCCTAAAATATTCACTAAACTACCTCTGGCAGGTGGCTACCCAGAGCCATTTGAAAACTTCAAGTGAGGAATCGTCTATTCAAAAGTAGACAGTTCTACTGTTAATAGCCTGTCAGAAAATTCCTCCAAATATTCAGTCTGAATTTTTAAATTTCGTTCATTGGTCTTCATCTTCCCCTCAGTTTCATCAAAGTAAAAGGCTGCTGCTTCTTGCACATGATAGCCTTTCAGATAGTTGAGGATTACTACCTTATCTCCCCTCTGTCCTCAAGTTAAACATGTTCGCTCCTTTAACTGTTCTTTATTGGACTTAATTTTCAGATCTATTATCAACCTGATATCAAGTTTAAAGTACACATTTCCTTTCCAGTCTGTCCCTTAGGTCATTTATAAAGATACTGAACAAACTGGGCTGAGACAAGGCCTTGGGGATCCCCATTCAATACTTCTCTTCACACTTCACACATAAGCCACTTATGAGTACCCTTTAATTATAGTTGTTCAACTAGTCACAAATTCACCAGAAGAGATCTTATCAACGAGATATAAGTTAGAGGTAGTTAAAGCATTTCATTATTCATTACTTTGCCCTTTTGAAAGTTTTTGATTTATTTTGGAAAGCATTATTTGCACTGGTCACTAGTAATTACCTACACAAGTATTAGTAGTACATAGTTCTGTTTATCTTCCCCTTCAATTGCTATGTTTCAATTATGAGAATCATTACACTAATTCAAAATTATAATTAATTTAATTTAAAATTAAAGTTCAACTTTATCTTGTCATTTCCTGTACTGTGAGCATTAGTATATAGACAATGAAAGCCAGGTACTTTATGACTCAGTGTTCTTCCTAATTTTTCATTGTTACATACCCCTTGCCACATTCTGGATTAGGATTATCTGAGAGGAACATAGGGAGAAATTTCATGAAGTCTTCACCCTGAGGTCTCTGCTTTCCTTCTTTAGTCAGTGGCCGGCAGTGCACACATGATGGATTTACAACTGCATAAATGTTATTGGAAAATATTCATAAAATTAGCATTCTTCTCCATACACATAAAAATTGATTTGCATCAGGTTCAATACTTCATTAAGCCTTGCAATTCAGCTGTACCTGAAGCATTGCAGAATGCTCCAGTGGTATTATAAGTTCTGCAACAGGAAGATTGTGGCTTGACCCAATCAAAGTAGTCATCGATCCAGGAAGAAGGTGAATAGCCAATTCTTGAACTAAAATATGAAAATGGTGCCATCATTTTTTGTCAAACATTTTCATGTACATTCAATACAAATCTCATAAATTTTTAAAAATATATTCAATACAAATCCCATATATTTTAAAAAATATATTCGGGGGGAGGGTGGCAATTAGCAATTATTCTTCAAGACTGATATAGAAATATTCTACATTTTGGACTTCCAGAAAAGAAATGGAAAACTATGGACTGGCTATTCGTAATTCCTCTCCAGACAAGGAGAAGATATGAGATTGCCTATAAGTGCTCCCGACAGTTGCTCCTTGCAAAGAGACCACAAGACAGCAATCTCTGGCTGCTGTCTTTAGAGCTCTGGGAGATGACAGAATAGCCATCTTGCTCAAACCATGGTCAGCACCTTCAAAAGGACACTTTTGAAGTATGGGTTCACATACTTCCTTTTCTAATCACTTTCAGAAATTGCTTGTTAACTGCTTTTCAGCTATTAGAAACCTTTGGATCAACAAGTCTGAAAACACTGGGCAGATTTCCTTCAATCCTTAGTGAAAGAAGTTCTAAATACAAGTTTAAGGATTTAAATATATATATATATATATATATACACACACACACACACACACACATATACACACACATATACATACATACATACATACATACATACATATATGGAATAAACAGCAAAAGGGTGATTCAAACTTTTGATTTTGGAAAGTC